AAGCCAATATTCCTTCGTACGCACAAGATCCGTTTGTTTGCACACCACATTTTTAGCACACGGATGACACCTAATTTGCACTTTTGGACACAACATACCTACACGCACGCTTAGACCTCATTCCCAATTTCAAACACAACATACGGTATCACTTATTCTTTGCATTATGGTTGTACACGCTGCCCAATCCTATGCATTTGCCTTTGTTAACATGTTCGCACACACTCCGTTCGTTTACACCCTTACGAGTTGCACACGGGTCAGTCTTTTCACATTTTTCCACACACTATGTATCATTCCCGCATAGAATATTTCATGTTTGCACCCGCTATGTAACACGTACGCATTCACTATGCACATTCTTTCACATTATAATACCATCCCCTTTATTGCCTTGATCGAAAATAATATGTATGGTTCAACAACTTTATTTTTTTAATTTTGGTTTGATCTTTAGTGTCCATGAGCTACTGTATATTACTACTCCCACTTGCACATGTGTGCAAATAGAAATTATATATCCACACACTATATTGCAATCACAATTACATGCTAGTGCACACAACTAAGAACAAAAACAACACTCTCCTTACATGTATACACCGACTCATTGCAAATTTATACCACTAACACACCAAAAGTTATAAAAAAAAAAAAAAAAAAAAAAAAAAAAAAAAAAAAAAAACGCATACCGCACCGTTCATCACAACTCATCTTCTTTTAACCCACACACGATTACACCCCCCGTACGTGTGCCTCCCCGTTAATATCACCAACCAAAAACCCTGAATTTACCACCTCATTTCTCAAATTAATAAGACAATACGTTTGCACACGCTCTTATATCGCTTTACACACACCATCAACCATCACTCCTAACCCACCACACTTAGTAAACCCACACAAAACACACAACCTAGATTTTTGTATAACGCACACACCGACAACTACGGGCTGGCTTCGCATGCACAGATCATGACCCCCATCCCCTCACAAACAAAGGACAATTTGCATCCTCCTTCAAGTCCGTCCCTTTACATAAGCCTCGCATGCACACACCATCTCCCATTCACTTATATGCACACCATCTGCACCGCCTTTTTAAACAACAGAAAAAGAAAAAAAAAAACGTACCTTCGTTCAGAATCGGAGAAGAAGACGCCATTGTCACTACTTTTTTAGAGCTCAACCGGTATTTTGATTACAGCATACACTATTACCATTTGAAATGTCTCCTACTACTCCTACAAATATGGAAATAATATTTAATGCAATTTACACCATATAAAAATTATTGGCTACATTACTACTTTACCCCTTATTATTATTTAAATACATTGTAATCTATATTTATTACTCAATCATGACCATTAAATAATATTAGATGAATGCACATGATGTGTTCTCACGTTCTCACCTAAGCACATGTTCTCACTGGAACCCTACCTTATATATATATATATATATATATATATATATATATATATATATATATATATATATATATATATATATATATATATATATATATATATATATATATATATAGGCGAGTTCAGGTGCAGCGGTGTCTTACGGTGCGGCATCACCAATAGTTCAACAAATATGCACCATCAACGTTAGGAAAATACACCACAAAAAACAGAGTAAATAGAGCCCCGCATCACTAAACAGACACCATTAGCTGTGAGTAAAAACACCATACACTATTCGGAAATACACAATTGAGGGTGGTGAGTTATATGGTGTATTTTTTTGAGTCTGTTGTGTATTTTGTGATGTTTTATTGCATTTCATTGTGGTGTGTTTTTCTTACACTGTTGGTGCATATTGTTAACACTGTTGGTGTATTAAGAAAAATATATATTGGTATTGAATATTATATATATATATATATATATATATATATATATATATATATATATATATATATATACACACTAAAAGATAATCTATATATATCTATACTAAAAGTGACGAATATATCTCAGAATCATGAAACACACACTCCAAAGTATGAGAATTGTAGGTGTTATTGTTGAATGTTTACTCGTACAATCGGATTAGGCGAACTTGTATCGCCCAATTCGTGGAGGTAGCAGTGATTTGGTTAAGTGAATTGAAGGTGGGAGTCATATTGAAAAGTTAAAAAGTTTAGCATATGAAAAGTACCGGGGAAGAGGATTGAAAATGAATGAGAAGCAAGACCAATGAGATATTTATAACTATGAATTTGTGCAAATGAATTACAAATGAATAATTTAATTTAATTATTTAATTATGAAATACAAAATACTAAATCCTAATAATAATAGGTATTGCATGATTCCCGTGCATAGTAACAGATTTATAATAATAATTCCCATGCATATTAAATACCATGAATTACACGTGCATAGTAATTATAGTAATAATAATTCGTTAAGGCTAATAGGATGCATGATTCTGCGTTTCTGTATATGAATAATTCGTTTTGTAAGGCTAATTTGTTATTATAGTATTATTATAGTATAGCATAGTATTATTATTATTATTATTATTATTATTATTATTATTATTATTATTATTATTATTATTATTATTATTATTATTATTATTATTATTATTATTATTATAAATACAAATAGTAATAGTAATTATAGTAATAATAATTGGCTAATAGGATGATTCCGCGTTTCCGTGTTGTTATTAAGGCTGATTTTACGTTTTGTATTAAGGATTGATTTAATTTAAATAATTTAATTAAGGATGATTGAATTTAATTTAGGACGATTATTTGTAATACTAAATATATAGGCTGATTTGATTTAAATGATTTAATTAAAGATGTTCTAATTTAATTAAGAAAGATTATTTGTAATACTAAATATATAGGCTGATTTAATTTAAAAGATTTAATTAAGAATGATTTAATTTAATTAAAGATGATCATTTGTAATACTAAATATATATAGGGTGATTTAATTTAAATAATTTAATTTAATTAAAATACTAGAATATAATAACGAATTATTATTACTATAATAATTACAAAATAATAATAATAATAATAATAATAATAACAAATATTATATTCTTCTTTTACTCGACATGTTAAATTACATGAACTTATTTATAAATTGGCTAATTCGTTATTATTGTATAATATATAATAATAATAATAATAATAATAATAATAATAATAATAATTATTATTATTATTATTATTATTATTATTATTATTATTATTATTATTATTATTATTATTATTATTATTATAGTAAACAGTAATTATAGTAATAATAATTCGTTAAGACTAATAGGATGCATGATTCTGCGTTTCTGTATGTGAAGAATTTTTTTTGTATGTGAATTATTATTTGTATAATAATTACAAATATATATATATATATATATATATATATATATATATATATATATATAATATAACAATAATAGTAACTAATAATATTATATTCTTCTTTTACTCAACATGTTAAATTACATGAATATATTTATTTATAAATTAATATGAATACATTAAATGTTTTCACATTTTGAGGTTCTTCTTTTACTCAACATGTTAAATTACATGAATATATTTATTTATAAATTAATATGAATACATTAAATGTTTTCACATTTTGAGGGAAATTTTTGAAATTTACATGAATCTATTTATAAATTAATATGAATACAATAAATGTTTTCACATTTGGAGGAAAAATTTTTGGGTTAATTTAATTTCAATAATTTAATTAAGAATGATTGAATTTAATTTAGAATGATTATTTGTAATACTAAATATATAGGCTGATTTAATTTAAATGATTTAATCAAAAATGATATAATTTAATTATAGATTATCTAATTTAATTAAGAATGATTATTTGTAATACTAAATATATAGGTTGATTTAATTTAAATGATTTAATTAAGGATGATTTATTTTAATTAACGATGATCAGTGATAATACTAAATATATATAGGGTGATTTAATTTAATTAAAATAGTATACTATAATAACGAATTATTATTACAATAATAATAATAATATTAATAATAATAGTAACTAATATTATATTCTTCTTCTACTCAACATGTTAAATTACGTGAATTACATGAATTTATTTATAAATTGGCTAATCTGCTATTACAGTATAGTATTATATTATTATTATTATTATTATTGTTATGATTATTATTTTTGTAAATTATAGTAAATAGTAATTATAGTAATAATAATTCGTTAAGACTAATGGGATGCATGATTCTGCGTTTCTGTATTTGAAAAATCCGTTCTGTATGTGAATTATTATTACTATAATAATAATAATTACTATAATATATATATATATATATATATATATATATATATATATATATATATATAACAATAATATTAACTAATATTATATTCTTCTTTTACTCAACATGTTTAATTACATGAATCTATTTATTTATAAATTAAAATACTATACTATAATAACGAATTATTATTACTGTAGTAATAATAATAATAATAATAATAATAATAATAATAATAACAACAACAACAACAACAACAACAACAATAACAATAACAACAATAATAATAATAATAGTAACTAATATTATATTCTTCTTCTACTCAACATGTTAAATTACATGAATTACATGAATTTATTTATAAATTGGCTAATTCGCAATTATAGTATATATTATTATTATTATTATTATTATTATTATTATTATTATTGTTATTATTATTATTATTATTATAGTAAATAGTAATTATAGTAATAATAATTCGTTAAGACTAATAGGATGCATGATTCTGCGTTTCTGTATGTTAAAAATTCATTCTGTATGTGAATTATTATTACTATAATAATTACTAATATATATATATATATATATATATATATATATATAACAATAATATTAACTAATAATATATTCTTCTTTTACTCAACATGTTAAATTACATAAATCTATTTATTTATAAATTAATATGAATACAATAAATGTTTTCACAAAGCTAGCTAGCTACACAGTACAATGGTAGTCGTCGGAAACCGAAAGCAGCTAATGTCATTGCTCCTCCTCCTATGCATGATCATCTCCGGCGTTGTTATCCCGCCGCCTTGGGCGGAGGCGCAGGTAACGTGCCCTGGCCTCGTCAACACACTTTTACCATGCGCGAACTACGTATTGAACGGTGGGGATATACCGGCGACGTGTTGTCCAGCCGTGAAAAAGGTGGAGGACAGTTTAAAAACAAAGCAAGACAGACAGAGCGCGTGCCAGTGCGTGAAAGAGACGTTTGCTAAAGCCAAGCCAGACCAGCTGAAACGGGCTCAAGATCTCCCAGCTAATTGTCATCTCCCGGCCCTTCCATTTCCGATTAGCCCTAACGTCGACTGTTCATCTATTTCAAAGTGAATTAATTAAAAGAAACTTTTTTATTGGAATCTTTGTATTAATTAACATCTTCCAGCGAAGATGTTGATTGTTGGAATTATATGATGATATATATTTGAGAAATAATTGAAACTCTTCTTTAAAAAAATTAATATTGTCAGAGGTAGACAATATTGTCAGAGGTATTTTATTTTTCCCCGGAGAGGTCAGAGGTAGACATACATTAGTTAATCATATAACCATTCAAATAATATAATTTCGCATTAACCAAACAATTTGATTACGTTGTTGGTGATGAACTGATGATGAGCGAATTACCAAAACAATTACAAAACTAAAGAATTCATTCTCATATGCACTATTGTAAAACGTTTACAAAGTTATATATATATATATATATATATATATATATATATATATATATATATATATATATATATATTCTAAAAGTTAAATGCGTTTAGATTATATAATACTAAGTTACTAACAGATGGGAAGATTTTGGGTCCAGATTAATAAAGAAATTAATTAGGATAGGAAATGAAATTAGACCGGTAAAGTTGAAGTGGTAAGCCAAATCCGGGAGCATGCATGGAGGCGGCAAATTATTGTGTATGTGGACCATAACAAAAAGTACATTTTTAATATATTAAATGTATATTATTTTTGTACTGTATGTACATTATACAATATAATGTACATTTCCTAAATGCAATGTAAATTATTTTTGTATTGAATATACATTATTGTTGTATGTACTGAATGTACATTATTTTACAGTATACAAAATATAATCCTTACAACTTGTGTGGACCATGGTCCAAACAATAATGATTATCAATTGTCTTGGAAGAATGATTATCAATTGTCTTGATTTTTTGTTTTCATATTTTTAAAACATTTATTTCCATATAGTGTCATACACAACCAAACATCAATATTAGTAATCATTCTAATTCCACCCTACTAACAAAAATGCAAAATACTTTCACCAAAATCCATTACTATTACCAAGTATTTAATTCTCATTCCGATTCCAATTTTCATGTGCGAACCAAACACACTCATAATTATATATAGAAGTTAAGATTTAAAAATCACAAGATAAATAATACATTAAATACAAATTTTGAAAATTGACTCTTATATGTACAAAATGTTTATTTCTACTATATATATATATATATATATATATATATATATATATATATATATATATATATATATATATATATATATATATATATATATATATATATAATACTAGTTTTTCGCACGCATTGCGTGAATCGGATAATATATACCAAATGATTATTTTTAAATAAGTACTACAAAGTATATCAATGCAAGATTATATATATAGGATATGTTAATTGAATGTTGAATTTGTTTATTTAAATAAGTAATTCAAAGTATATGAATGCATGATAATATATGAGAGATTGATTATAATTGTCACTAAAATAAATATTTGTAAATTTGTAATAACGCCAGTCTTAATACTTAGTCTAAAAACGATAATATAAATAAATACTACTTTTGGTTTGAATTTCTTTAAGTCTTCTTAATTCTCTTTTGGGTAGCATTGACATTTTCTTCATATTCAGTACTTGTCATTTTCTCTTTTATTGGTAGTGTAAAGTCTGTCATGTGCAATTGGGTTACTGGTGGTAGCATAGAGGACATCGTCATGCAATGAGATTATGGTGTAGGAAGTTTTAGATTTGTCTTGTTGTGTATATGACTCGATCTTAGTTGTACTATTAACTCTTTATCTTGCAAGTGTCTGTTGATATTTGGCAGTGGTAATCAGGGCCGTATTTTAAGTTTTTGTGGCCCTGTTCTGGTAAATAAATGTGGCCCTACCAAAATAACAATTTTTAAAACCAATACATGCAAGTTTCGAACCTTTGACCTCCAAGTTAAAATATAATAAATACAAATTCTTACCATCTCTTCATAAAACCTTTTAAATTTAATTGAAAACTTTTTATTTTTATTTCTAAATTAGCTAGGTAAAAATTAAATATTGAACCTCTAAAATTTGGGGCCCCCTAAAATTGGGGGCCCTGTGCGGTAGCCCAGCTTGCACAGCCTAAAATCCGGCCCTGGTGGTAATTTATCCCATACATATTTCATGTGTTGTGAGATGTGTGTCGTAGATTTTAATGTGAAAGTATTAAACAAAATATTAATATTTATTATATTTGTAGAAAGTTCATAAGTAGTACCTCTTGTTTTAGTTCCATAACTTGTTTACTTGATAGTAATATCAATGACTCTGCATGTAGTCATAATACTAAGAGGGATGTATTCAATCATGACTTTTACAGGGCGTTTGGTTTGAGGGATTTTAAATTCCCACCTAATGCCAAAGACCATTAAATTCCGTAGTTTGGTTGGAAGGAATTGCAATTCCATGGAATTGCAATTCCCTCATTTCATGGAATTAAAATCCCATGTACCCCCTGGTATTTTAATTCCTGGGATTTTAAGATGAAAAAAAAGATAGTGATGAGTCAAAATTACCCCTTCCTTTTTTAACCTAAAATTAATGCCTAATAATAACAATGGACATTTTTGACTTTATACTGCTTATTCCCTTTCAATTCCCATGTATACCAAACATCAGAATTGAAATTTCCAGTAATTCTATTCCTGTAAACCAAACACTGGAATTTAAATTCCCACTTTATTCCCAGTAATTCATCTCCCATGGAATTACAATTCCTTTCCCACATAATTCCCTCACTCCAACCAAACGCCCTGTTATTTGAAGATTTTTAAAGACTTTTAAAATGATAGATTTTAAGAAACTTTGATTGACTTTCATAGAGTCATTCAAAACTTTTTAAAACTTTGTAACACTCTATAAAATTCAATATAAAAAATATTTATAAACTTTTATCAACTTTTTTATTTAAAAAAAACTTCAAAAGTCATTGAAGTTCTAATAAATTTTCAATAAGTATGCATCTAAACTTCCTACCAATTTCAATAAGCAAGCATCTAAACTTCAATAAATTTTCAATAAGCAAGCACATTGTGCTTAGATGGTACCTCTGTGGCTCCCCTTTAGGGAAGGTTACAGGATCGACCTGGGTGGTGGGATACTAACTTTTTAGACGGCAATAGTTAGAGAAAGTATAGAACAGATATTACCTAGCGAGTAATAGAGTCAATAGTATTCAAAAAAAAAAAAAAAAAAAAAAAAAAAAAAAAAAAAAAACTTCCTAAAAAAAAACTTCCTAACAATGCGTCGTCACAACTTACAAACAAACTATTACTACTACAGCAAGAAAGAACCATGGAGGTATAGCATTACTGAAAAATAAAAGCATGAGAATTCATAGATGAAGCTATGGATAGAATTTTTATTTTTATTTTTTTTTTTTTGAGAGACTATGGATAGAAAGTTCTAGAAAACAAAAAAATCAAAATAAACAAACAATAACGAAGTAAAAATTTTATTATTTTGAATTTTTAGAGGAAGATTGTAAAGTTTAGGAGAGATAAAAAAATAAAAAAAAAAAACAAAAAAAAAAACTAGTAGAGTTTAGGTATGAAGAAAATAGGATAATGAAGAAAAAATAATTTATTAAATTTAGGTATGAGGTTTATAAAGAAAAATAGAGTTTAAATAAATAGAGTTTAAATAAAGAGAGAGAAAACATTCAGAGTTAGTAGAAAGAAAATTTTGAAATCTTGAATTGATGGTTGGATTTCAACTATTTATATTTGAGAATGAAAAGTTACAAAAGTCATAAAATTAAAAAGTTTACAAAAATTCATAACTTTTTGAATACTGAATGACTTTTAAAGACTCTTCAAAAGTCATCATAGAATACCACCCAACTTTTAAACACTCTTTAAAAATTTTGATTGAATACCGTCCGACTTTTAAAATTCATAAAAGTAGTCTTTAAAAGTATACTAAAGTCATGATTGAATACACCTCCCTAAGTGCTTTTGTTGTCAAGGTTGATGTTGATTTTGCCTATAATCCAAACAGTTTAAATCTAGAAAGATTTTGACTTTAATCCAAACAGGTTGAGTCTATAAAATGGATTGAATTGTAAATTTTTATTAGTTTCAGTATATTTAAAGGATGCATAATAAGTCCTACAAAATCAATGAATGTTGCAACGGTGGCTATTTTTGAAATTTTTTCATTTTCTGGATTTGTAATATTGATTGCAGTATTGTTGCAGTCTCGGCATCTTTTCGATGCGTCAAGTGTGTCATGATGTTCTATTGCCCTACATTGGCATTTTAATAATGAGTTTTAAATGTAGCTCAGTAAGATAATGATCTAATTACCATTTACATATTATTATCAGCATAAAAGCATACCAGCCCTTTAGATGTTCTATTCGAGGTATTTTTTATTCAACCATTATTGTTGAATGGGTTCTTGTGGATAGAGAAATTATAGTTTATTTAAGGAATAAAATTAGATAAGGTAATAAAACTTAATACATTTTAAATCATCTTAATAAAGAAATATAATTTACCTTTAGAGTGAACCACTTTGATGTAATTCAGCTATATTACGGGGGAGTTTCATGCTTCATTTTCTTGAATTATTTGAATACCCGGTTTGTCAACAAATCCTTCCAAGTAGTTAATATGATTGATTTTAAATTGTTTTAATTTTTTTTTCATGGTATTAATAAAATACTTGGTAGATAAATATATAACATATTTTGTATTATAACTTTGCTATTTAATTACAAGATAGTGTTAAAAGAAAAAAAATGGAAAATGCAGTGAATATAATTAATTAATGAATTTGAAGGTAAGAAATCTTTGAATTGTAGAAAATAAAGATAATATAACTAATTGAATTATAACTCTTTTTTAATTTTTTTTGATAATGAATAATTTTTTTTGAATAATGACATTATAGACATCTAATTCTAAATTAAAGAAATGCATATATATTATTTTTTGTTGCAGATACTAATTTATTTAATTTAATAAGAGTAATAAAGTGGTATTACTTACTTTTCATCCACAACAATTAAGTCATTGATTTTTTTATTTCCATT